CCGAGAGTTCCTATATCGGGAGTGAAGATGTATCATTGTCCAACGTAGACAGTCGATCTGCAACCCCTTTTTTGTGCTTTTCCCTTTGTAGTCTGTCTAGTGTCTACATCTTCCATCCGGACGGAAGAGAGATGGATCCCTGAAGCAGTTCGAAACCGGGTCGAGACGGCGACTCACAGTACTAGAGGACTGAATAGATATCCACCTGCCAAACAGGCGAGGAATACGTAAGTAGTGGCCCCCGTTATTAATTTACTGCCGCCCCATCAGGCTGGCCACTACGAAGTAGTCTATAGTACGGAGTAGTGGCTGGCAGCTCGGCACCTCCTACTATACCCGACTGGGGATGTATTCTGTAGACTCTTGCAATGTCAAGCAATGGCAAGCTTCAGAAAGAGGGAGAAAATTTTTGCTAGCTCGTAGACGAAGGAGAAATGGATACCAGGACTTGCAAAATATTTCAACCGGAGGTTTGAGGAGGATGACTTGCGGTGACGATGGCCCACTTGCCGGTGGGTTGGATTTTATTTCATTTTTTTCAATTCCTTTTCTTCTTTTGTTGTGATTGTCAATTTTTAAGATGAGAGAAATTGAAGGTGACCGCGTCGCTTCCTGAGGCCCCGTCTCTGTCCTGTGATACAGTTAGTCAAGCAGGAGTAAATGAGTAACTGAGTGACTGAGTGAGTGGACTTACTCCGTAATGGGTGGCTGCCTCAATTCCCTGGGTCCCTCCCTATCTACTCCGTACGACTAGTCTATCTCTCGCCAATCTCTCTCTACCATTCCTCCCCTCCCTATCCCTCTACACGCCCACTCACTCCCCCCCGGAAATGCACAAACAGTCATCCTTCTTCCCTCTACACTCCGCGGAGTTACTTCTCCAGATCTTCTACCTTATCCTTATCAGTTCCCCAGAACCATGCCAATCATGCCCTAAACTGCCGTGCAGAGACCCTTGCTTATCTCCAGCACTGGTCTCGTTGGTCCACGCCTCTCGATGAGGGTCATGAACTCGGCCTCGATCGCCATGCCATGAACCCTGAGGTCATCTTCCTGCTTAGGTCCATGACTAGCGACTCCGGCTCTTACGCTGGACTGTCTCTCTTACCGCGCGACCCAGTATCCACAGCCACGCTCAATCCGACTGCCAGGTGTGGATCCCCGGCCATTGCTCCTAGATTGAGTTCACAGGCTTGCCTTGGTTCTGTTTATTTCGCTGCTATTGCTGCTGATAATAATTTTTTTTTTTTTGCCCTGCTGCCACACCATGTTGAGCTTGACCCATTTCCTAGGAGATACTGATTTATGTTTCTCTGAATGTTATGTCGTTTAATTATTATCAGAAGCAAGCCACTCGCATCAATCAACTGGTAATCAGACCGCTGACCCTCCTAGGAGATAGATAACTAGATAGATTGATGCCTTGAAAGAGGCCTCCCACACGGGGGTGTCGGAGCATTTCCTACGCCTGAAAAGAGCGTTTCCACTTCTTGTGACACTATCCGAAGCACCGGTCTATATATACACGTCCTCTCCATCGATCTAATTCGGTCTTAATTCTCCTGTATTGCCCTATACCACACTCTCAATACCCATTGCACTTCCAGCGGGACCCAGTCGTCCGTTGGTCTACTCGAATCTAATACGCCCTGGTGGTGTTTTGTCTTTGTTGTGATACCCCTTCTCTCTGTGCTTGCTAGATCCCTCCTGTACCTTACATCCTTGCTGTCTTACCTTGCTGTCTTGCCAGTGACAGTATACCATCAATTGATTGTGCTATTGACCGAATCTCTCTGGCGATGGATCACATCAAGCTACTCTTTGTCTCTCCGGAGATTAACCCGAGTAATCGCAAAGCACAGTCTATCCCTATCCTCAACCCGTTTGACAAATATGGTCGGGTTTTCTTCTTCTCATGGCTGGGTTTCATGGTAGCTTTCCTGTCGTGGTATGCCTTTCCACCGTTGGTGAGTGACTTCCAACCCGGATGCATGCATGGACAAAGGTTGACATAGGTTCCTCACATAGTTGACCGACACAATTCGCCAAGATCTTAACATGACAGAGACGCAGGTCGCAAACTCGAACATTGTTGCTCTGCTCGCGACGTAAGCCTCCCCGTCCCATACTCCTCTTATATATAGACATCGTTGACAATGTGCTAGTCTGCTTGTGCGATTCGTAGCAGGACCCCTTTGTGACAAATTCGGTCCTCGTCTGGTCTTCATCGGGCTGCTGCTTTGTGGGTCGATTCCAACTGCCATGGCGGGGCTTGTCACCACTCCCAATGGCCTGATTGCCCTGCGCTTCTTCGTGGGTATCCTCGGAGGTACCTTTGTCCCATGCCAGGTCTGGTGCACGGGATTCTTCGACAAGAAGATTGTTGGGACTGCAAATGCTCTTGCTGGTGGCTGGGGCAATGCTGGTGGCGGAATCACCTTGTATGTTGAACATTGTACCCCTCTGGATCATTTGGCTTACTTGTCTCAGCTTCGTTATGCCCGCTGTGTACGATTCCCTCGTCAAAGTCCAGGGCTTGCCACCACACAAAGCATGGCGCGTGGCATATATTGTGCCGTTCATCATCATCGTCGGGGTTGCCCTGACTATGCTCTTCGTATGTGAGGACACGCCGACGGGCAAATGGTCAGAGCGTCATCTCTGGGTGAAGGAGGCCACTGAGTCTGAGGGCAACATCATTGATATCAACTCGGGAATTCCATCCAAAGCCCCCTCGGTGTCCGACATGATGGCGGACGTGGAGAAGAAAGGCGGCGCCCAGACCCCCATGTCCCTGGGAGCCGAGTCCCAGCAGATTGGCCAGTTCGACGCGCTGCGGACGGACACGGTAGTAGCACCCACGCGCAAAGAGGCCCTGAACGTGCTCTTCAGTATGTTCACTGCAGCCGTCGCCATCCCATACGCCTGCACTTTCGGAGCAGAACTTGCCATCGAGTCTGTTCTGGCAAACTACTACGTAGCGAACTTTCCCAGTATGGGACAGACCGAGTCCGGACGATGGGCCGCCATGTTCGGGCTACTGAATATCATCTGCCGACCGGCCGGTGGCTTCGTGGCCGACTTTTTGTATCGAACCACACAGAGCCTATGGTCGAAGAAGATCCTGCTGGTCTCCTTGGGACTCATCACGGGAGCTTTCCAGCTCGCGATCGGACTCACCAACCCGAAGACCGAGGCCACCATGTTCGGCCTCATGGCCGGGCTTGCCTTTTTCCTCGAAGCCTGCAATGGCGCCATTTTTTCTTTGGTACCTCATGTGTATCCATTTGCCAATGGTGAGCTCACTTTGAACCCTCTATTAAATGACTTTGTGCTAATAATAATAGGTGTCGTGTCGGGTGCTGTCGGCGGTATGGGCAATTTTGGTGGAATCATCTTTGCCATCATCTTCCGCTACAATGGGTCGCACTATGCTCAATCGCTGTGGATCATCGGGGCGATCTCGCTGGCAGCGAACGTGGGCATTTCGTGGATCCGGCCAGTGGCGAAGAACCCGGTTGTGAGGCAGTAGTGTTACACTTTGTTTATGAAAGATCTTGATGATATCTAGCCGATGCGAATTCATGTTTATGTAGTAATCAATTAGAGAATGTGCTTTACTATTACTATTCTTCTGATCTTCGTTACGCCTTGCTTCCTCTGTCAAATCTGCGCTCACGTACAGTAACCCCGCTGGTTAACCTAGATCTCGTGGAGCAGCCCGAACAAACCATGGAACACAAAATTCTAGAAGCCATTTACAGCAGCACACAATGCATAGATGTGTAGATCGGATAAGAGATCCCCGGAAGACAGCGGAAAGTCAAAGCGCAATGATGATGGCATAGCGAGTAGTTTGAGTTTCGGGTCCGATTATATGAAGAGCCATATAAATGAGATGATGGATAGTTCCATCAATGCGATTGAAATATCCTGATTTTTCTATCTTATTCAAATTCAAATCGTGAATCTAATCAAATCAACTGATATTATCATACCAACTACAATATAAACACCTGAAATACTTAATATCTACCAAAATGTCTCAACGTACGTCACCCCATGTGTCAGATCCACCACCACACACCATAACTCTACATATGAACACTTACACGAAATACCTAATGATATGATATAGACCACGAAAACATCTTCGACAAAATGTTCCACCACCACAAGCACCAAGACACCCAGCAACATCATAGTGCCAGCCAAGGCGGGGAGAACGACGACGACAGCGGCAAATACCCCTCTCAGCAGAAGAGCCACTTGAATGAGGCAGAGGACGAAAGTCAACCTTCGCATCATGGAGAGGAGGAAGGAGTTGTGAATCGATTTGAGAATTATATTAAGGAGGATGAGGAGTTGGAGAGAGAGGGGCAGACGTATGGGGGGTTGATGTAATCTTTATTCATTTATTTACTATTTAATTAGTTTAGTTTCTTGTGTCAGATTGGGGATATTGGGGGTATTTATCACGATTCAGCTGACTTTAGAGATATGTTTTATTTTTGAGGGTTGTAAGTAGGGTGGGTTGTAGTATGTGATTAGTACTAATTGGCTCCGTATAGCTATTAAGTGCTGAAGGACGGTGTACTATTACTTTGGCGTTGATGGGTAGGTACTATACCCTTAGTAATAGTAGTTAGTTACTAGTAACTACTACTACCGACCAAATGGTGGTTGATGCTAACACTATAATGATATTCAGATCTTGTAGTAGAACATGAACGTCAAGAGACATTACTCGTTCAAGAGCAGAAAATGCCGCCTTGTATGAGTAATTGATAATCCAGATGAAGCCATCACAACTACTAAGTTCTACACAGCTTTTGAACAGAAACATGTAGTATCTACTAGGTCTTGTGCTATCCTACCCTAATCTATAACTGCGTAGTATACAAACAAGTAACAAACATCAAATAAATACCAATACTCCACCACCACCACCACCACCACCACCACAACATCTAGTGTGACCCCTCCTCCCTCGGTCCATCCCAACCCCCAATTCGGGCCATCATCACCCCGAATCCACAAAATCATACATATACAGCAACTACTACCACCACCATACCATCATCCTATCCTCACTTTCACAATTGAACAACTTCCCTTCAACTCAAACCATTGAACCAAGCCCAATCTCCCTCCCCCAACCGACCAATTCCCTACACACACACACACCAACAATGCCCACCCGCCGCATCGCCCAAATCGTCCACCTCAAGCCCTCCGCCATCGCCGCATACAAAGAATGTCACGCGAACGTATGGCCCGAAGTCCTACAGCAGATCAAGGAGTGTAATATTCGCGATTGTATATATCCCTCTCCCTCAGAGTCATAAACGAAGTGCAAAGTCATATATATATATATATATATATATAGAAGCAGAAGCAGAAGCTAATATGGGGCAATGGCTATTTGCAGACTCAATCTTCTTCGATAATGAGCGGACGCTGTTCGCAACGTTTAAATATGTCGGGGAAGACTTTGACGGGGATATGCAGCGGATGAAGGCCAATCCGAAGGTGAGGGAGTGGTGGGGTTTGACGGATGGGATGCAGGTATGTTTATTGCTTCTACTTATCCATTATGATGGTGTGTAGTTCAGAGCGGAATTGAAGTGAGGCTTATATATATATATTTGTACAGGAAAGCCCTATCCCTGGTGCTGTCGGAAGTGCTGAAGGTCCTGGGTGGTGGAAGGTGCTGGATGAGGTGTTTTATACTGAATAAATTGTATGAATATACTCTCAAGTTTGTTTCCGTTCTTTCACTCCTCACAAGTATAGAAATACATAAAACTACTTGACGGATCTCATTCGGATCTCATATACATGCCATGCAACAATGGGTATCTTCGCCGGGAAAATCCGTAGCCGCAAATCAGCTGCTCCAAAAAACGCCGACTCCCTCTAACGCAAATATATCGGTAACCAATCGTTATAGCTCGTGCAACACCACTAAGATCATGCCAACCACCAGGGTATAGGCAGCCCACGGTGTCGGTCTCATTCGGCGCTGCCAGGGACATCCTTCAGGATCTCCCATCCAAATTCGTCCTCTGGCCTCTCGGGCTCCATACCAAGCGCGTTGCGGTACGCCCGCACCTCGTTCTGTAGACCTGCAACAATCCTAATAGGCAGCTCTTCCTCCTCGGAGCGGAGACGGTACGCCGTCCGAATCATCTCGGCACACTTCATCGTCTGCGCATGCCAGTAGTCACGATCTAAGCGGCTCTCCAGGTGGGAGTCACGCTCCGCTTGGAGCAAATTGTTGTAGTGGCGTTTCTGAGACAGATAGTGCATGTTGTTGTTTTGGCAGTAGTTGCGGATTTGCTCAACCATCGTCCCGAGGGTTGCCTCATATTCACCGATCAGTTTGGCGTTCTCCGCCTGCTCGGTCCGTAAAACTTCAACTAAACGTCTCTCTTTGGCAAGGGCACGCTCGAGTTCGGTAATACGGGCACCTAAGCTTGTCAGCCGCTGTTCTGAGAGAATGAAATTCAGACGACCACTTACCGGTGATTTCCCCGTTCACTTGCTGCAAAGTCGGGTTGGCACCCTCCGAACCAGACCGTTTCTGTCCCTGTCAGCCCGGGTTAAACCAGACTATATAGCCTCCATGGAAGACATACCATAATTTCCTCCGCACTAGTCACTATACTTTTCGTCATTTCGCGATTGTTCTTCAACACGTCGCTCAACTCCAACACCATATCGTAGAGATGATGCAGATCCATCTGATGACCCGCGTTCATAGGAACTCCGCCATTCATACCAGGCATTCCGCCGCCGTTGACCTGAGCCGGTGGATGAGGCATCGCAGGCGACATCGAGGGACGAGGAACATTGGACATGCCTGAAGCACCGCCAGAGTTATCGCCGTAGCTGGCAAACATGGCCGACCCAGGGCTACTGCCCGTCATGCCCCCACTGCTGTTCATCGACATGTTTGCGGAGTCAAAAGCGTTGTTTAATGCGTTGAACTCGGGATCGACAGCAGGATTCGGTTTAGGGAGGTTATGGTCGTCGTCAAAGCCGAACCCAGAGGACTCCAAACCCAACACTTCTTTTCTGAATTTCTCAAGGTCACGACGAGTAACGTGGGTGGAACGGCGGCGATGCCCACGCACAAAGGGTGCCTTGGAATCAGGGGAAGGCGTAGACGCGCTGATGATGCCGGGTGAAGAGGGCTCACTTTTGCTGTAGCTGGTGTGGTGCGCGGTCGGGGTTAAATCGTCAAGGTTGGGAAAAGGAACCGTTGCGGTGAGAGCAGCAGACAATGGGGAAGCAGCAGGCAAAGCTGGGCGATGAGGGTCATCCACCTCGTCCTGATAGTGAACCGTGGCCGCGGAGAAGCCAAAACAGTCAAGCGTCGGAAATTCGGAAGATTCCAGCCGAGCACCAGCCTCGGCAGCGCCACAACTTGGGGCGGTGGCCGCACCAGAATTCTCCATGATAGCTAGTAAGTAGCTAGCTAAGTTAAACCTGGGTTATGCCAAAAAGGGATGAAGTCAAAAAACAAAAAAAGGTGTGGTGAATGTAAAACAATAAGAGGAAGGGAAATCGATGGGTAGAAAAATAAAAATGTGGGAACCAGTGAAAAGAGAAGGAACAGAGCAGCTGCTTCTGCTTCTCTGTAAGTAGTAAGTAGTAGTCCCAAAAAAACAACTGTTTGGCTCTCGTTCTTCTCCCTCCTTCCTGTCACTGGCACTTTGCTACGATCGTTGCAGCCGCAGTCAATCGTCTGGTTCCCCCCTTGCAACTTCTCAAAGTTCCGGTAATTGCATGGGAAAATCCCTCTAATTATAGCTGCCCAAAGGAGACTTGCGGCGTAGAGTCAAGAAATTGAGATCTACTGATTGATTATCCAGTTGCAATGGTTTTCATGCATCTGTGCGACCTCTTTTGCCGGCAATGCCGCATCCTCAAGCTCCAGAGGCTATGTATGTATGTATGAAGGCACAACACTCTCACAAGTGTAGGCAAGGCATGCAATTTAGGTATTCGGGCATCCTTCCATTCCATTCAATGCATGAAGTCATTCTAGCCGGGCCCTTTCTCTCTATTTGTCATCACGTCATGTCCAATAAGGCATCTAGTTTCTGGTCGCACCCCAGATACGGCTTGTCCTGCTCCTGAGCCCCCAGTTTCTTCTTCCCTTGTTCGACTCGGCCGCCCACTCGCGCAACCAGCATCCTCATCTTGTCTAACTCCTGGACTAGCTCGCCATCTCTCGTCACCAGATTAGGCTGGATGTGTTTCTGCGGTTCCCGGAACGGCTCCAGTAATTGTTGCAGCTGTCGTAATTGATCCAGGCGCCGTTGTCGCTGTTGCCGTAAGCGATCCAGGTCCGTAAGACGCTCCCGTAGTTCTTGGTATCTGTATCACGATTAACCAGCTGAAACTGTGATCGGTGCGAGAGGTATCCCAGACCTAGCTCGCTGTTCTTCGCTCGCAGATTGGTCCTCTAGCTCCAATGGGAGTTGTGCGATATTCCTGCGACATTAGATCTTTCCGCTTTCCCAGCAACAGAAGTCCGAGGCTCACAAATGACTGGATAGATCCACCGATCTCTCAATCCCTTTTATCAAAGACCCTGGGTTGTGTATTGCCTGGGTTACCGACGACCAGTATAGGCTGGTAATTTGCTGAGCGACATGCTGAACCGCTTGGGAGGAATAGACGATGCGACTATGTTGTTTCAAAGCGGCGTTCACTGGTGTCCCATAGGTTCGTTAGATACATACGCAAATTGAAGAACGATATGCTTATGAACCGCAGTGCACGATGAGCAATCATGTGCTGTAATCCCAGGATCATATACGTGAAGGCTCAATCCTGGATGAATGCACTTACACTTTTGCAGAACATCGCCGACCACCTTATCACTGAGATCATCCTCTTCGGTCTCAGCGGCGTAATTTCGCCAATCTTCGGGCGGCTCAAGGCCTTCGGATAGTATTCGGACTTGCGCCCTGATAAAGGACGACTTCAGCTCGGAGATGGTACGAGTAGATTCCATGACTCCATAGTGAGGGATTGTGATCGGCTCAGAGGATAAGAGAGGACCATCGCGATTCGGCTTCACTGAAACGCGTCCGGCGCTATCGATAAGCACACACGTGACGGATACGCAGTGCCCCCTTCCGCCAACCTGCCATCCATCGTCAATCATCACCAGAGATTGGAGTCAGCAATCTCCTTGCGTCTTGATGATTTGTACGTTTCATGCCGCTAATATTACAGGGCTTCTGCGGCGCAGGTTTGGCCTTTAGGGTCTGGAATTCCCCCTGCAGCTTTCATTGCCTCGGACCTTGATTGTAAACCATAAGCAACAACCGATCTCTCGTATCTAACCTCGGTAACTTGGACCCCAGGTCTGGTCTTCTACTACTCCGCCAAAGAACAAACATCAAGCGACATCTTCATCTTATATTTAGATCACCTTTGTCGCTGCTACCTCTACCCATCTACTGCCTTCCGAAAGCCTCTACCGACTAGTATATCGCCACTATGGCTGACAACCAACGGCCGATAGGCCTGCTGTTCGACATCGGAGGAGTGTGTGTAAGGCTGCGCGATTGCCCAACCCAGAGATAATAGCCTGTTAATAAAGCTGCAGGTTGTCTCCCCCTTTCAGGCTATTCTGGACTATGAACTGGCCCACAACATCCCCCCAGGATGGGTGAACTTCAGTATTTCTCGTACCTCGCCAAACGGCAGCTGGCACAGACTCGAGCGCGGAGAGATCAAGATGGATGCCGACTTCTTTAAGGAATTTAACAAGGATCTACGAAACCCTGACTTATGGAAGGCGTTCCACGAGAGACTTCAGAAACAGCGCCCGGATAGTGCGCCAACATCGGTTCCTCCATTACCCGCCCTGGACGCAGAGTTCCTCTTCTGGGAGATGATGAGGGTGTCTAGAACGCCGGATCCATATATGTTCCCTGCTCTGAAAAAATTGAAGCAGTCGGGAAAGTTCGTTATGGGAGCTCTGTCAAACACAGTGATATTCCCGGATGGACATCCATACAACACAGACATTGATGACAAGAAGTCGCAATTTGACTTCTTCATTTCATCTGCGCATACCGGTCTCAGGAAACCGGACGGGAAAATATATCAGGTTGCGCTGCAAGAGATGGAAAACGTAGCAAGGAAGAAGGGTCTAGGCGGTATTCGCCCGTCTGATATTGTGTTCCTTGATGACATTGGAGAGAACCTTAAGGGCGCAAAGAAAGCTGGCATGCGAACCCTGAAGGTTAATCTGGGACGGACCCAGGACGCTGTGAAGGAGCTGGAGAGAATGACCGGCCTTCAGTTGCTAGAAACTCCAGAAAAACCCCGGCTGTAAATAGTATAATTTGGCCAGCTAGTAAGATCATATTCGGACAGCCTACAAATTCATAACTATAAGATTTTTCCAAATAAAGATTGCTGAAAGAAAAGAGTTGGTTATGATTGTTGGGAGTACGGAGTAAGTGGTGGTACATACTTCGGTCCTTCAGCCCGCTCGTGGCCAACCGCAGTCTGGCGCCGGGATGCAGCCACGCTAAGCGAAGCCTTCCACAAAAGACATCCCACGAAATTTCCCATCTCTTCCTTTGCAGCCACCGTCGACAATCCCCGTCATCAACCAGCGGCAACCGTCAAAATGGTGAGTTTTGCTGTAATTCTCAAGTGACTGGGAACCGACTTCGTCGCAAATTCCCCCGTCGCCTGAACGAAAATTTCAGGTCATCCCACATGGGCGACCGCACTGTGGGATTGGAAACGGGTCTTTGCAAGATGCTTCGGACGGTCTTTCTCTGAAGCGCAAATTGCTGACTCGACTGTCTCTTGTAGCCTTTCCACAAGCTCGTCAAGAACAGCGCTTACTACAGGTAAGAAATTTACAAGACTCCTTTCGACACAAAGTTGTCCTGGAACTAACAAATTTTCTCTCTACAGCCGCTACCAGACCAAGTACCGTCGTCGCCGTGAGGGTAAGACCGACTACTATGCCCGTAAGCGCTTGATCACCCAGGCCAAGAACAAGTACAACGCCCCCAAGTACCGCCTGGTCGTCCGCTTCACCAACCGCGACATCATCACCCAGATCGTCTACTCTGAGATCTCCGGTGACAAGGTCTTCGCCAGCGCCTACTCCCACGAGCTCAAGCGCTATGGCATCACCAACGGTCTGACCAACTGGGCTGCCGCCTACGCCACCGGTCTCCTCCTTGCCCGCCGTACCCTCAAGAAGCTCGGCCTGGATGAGCAGTTCCCCGGTGTCGAGGAGGCCGATGGTGAGTACACCCTCACCGAGGCCGCTGAGACCGACGAGGGCTCCCGCCGCCCCTTCAAGGCTTTCCTTGATGTCGGTCTTGCCCGTACCTCCACTGGTGCCCGTGTCTTCGGTGCCATGAAGGGTGCCTCCGACGGTGGTATCTTCGTTCCCCACTCCGAGAGCCGCTTCCCCGGTTTCGACATCGAGTCCGAGGAGCTCGACGCTGAGACTCTCCGCAACTACATCTTCGGTGGCCACGTCGCTGAGTACATGGAGGGTCTTGCCGACGACGATGAGGAGCGCTTCCGCTCCCAGTTCCACAAGTACCAGGAGGCTGGTGTTGAGGCTGGTGACATTGAGGAGCTCTACACTGAGGCCCACAAGGCCATCCGTGAGGACCCCTTCAAGAAGGACGAGGATGCTGGTGAGAAGAAGACCAAGGAGGAGTGGAAGGCCGAGAGCAAGAAGTTCCGTCCTCAGCGCCTCACCCGCGAGCAGCGCAAGGAGCGTGTTGAGCAGAAGATCCGTGAGCTTGCTGCTTAAATGTCGGACTTCTTGAGGCCGATCGTGCTTGATGGTTTTTACCACCCAAAAAAGAAACTATGAGTGCGATAGTCAAAAAAGTTTGATAATTCTCTTTGAAATATAGGGGAATTAAGGTTCTTCTTGCCCACTACTACTACTTTTTTTTGTGATATCCAGTAGTCTTGATGAAATCTTCATGACCGGAGTTTATATGGCAGGGTTGAGTTTTTATGCGTTCGGAGCAATTAAGGAACGCGCACAATGGGATATTAATTGACCATCTAAGAGGTGCTCCGGTAAAATGGCAATGTAGACACTGCTTGTAGAAACCACAATAACGCCCGCTATACTAGTGTCACAGTGGACCATCATCATAATCCCCCGCCATCCTTCAAGCGTCTTACATTCTCTGTCCAAGTGGATTAATCCATCGATGGATTGTTCGAAGACCCCTCTCGGATATGTGGGGGAACGAACAAGCAGCAAAATTTCGGTAGCCCAAAAGCATTGTGCAACCCTCAAGGAGCATCTTCCCGCTCTGGGTAACATGCATCATGCACTAGTCCTTATTCGGCCTAGCCCTGAAGCCCTAACTGCCATTCCTGTTGCCGTCACTCTCGGAACATGTTGCTCTGTCCGGCCAATTGCTTCGAGATGATGAGGCTGGCTGGATAGTATACCTTCCTCGGAGAATGTAACCTGTACCATTTGTTTGTGACGGGTCCATGGAGAAAAATTTTCTGTCTGCATCGGACTAATGTTGTTTTTGACGCAGTCCATGACGAGTTGATATTTCAAAACGAATGCGGATGCTTCGGCATGGTTGTACGAAGACATTGCTTGCTACTGGTTACTTACTAGTGGGTTAATTAGGCACTTGTTGGTGGTTGATGGCAGACAAGAACAACAGCAGCAACGACGACCCAACCCGAGTAGATCGGACGCTACCGTGTAGTACTACCGACTAAGTAGTAAGTATACTCTGTAGGCGGGTAGATATTCAGCCCCAGACTTAATCTGATGAATGAGTGAATGACATGTCATTCCTTAAGCGAGAGAAGAAACTGGCAGATGACATCATCCGACATTCTACTTAAGCATATTCTGCGCAAAGATCATCCATGCTTTCAGGCTGATCTGTGTAACACCGTATGACATTTAATCCTCCTATTCAGTCTTCAAGCCTCATACGTCGAAGCTAATATTCGCCGTTCAAAGTACGTACTAACTAACTTGGCTACTTTGAGCAGGGATGGCAAAAAAGAAAGGTGCACTTTGCTGGTTAGAGTGTATGATCAACATGGTCTCCTCTCGGGTTCCATAAAGTGGATCGCGTTAAGTTCAATGGATCAAGGCACCACGTACTATGGGAACATGGGTTATTATACTCTGTTATTCGGGTTGTTTAATTTGCCATCGGACTCAAGACTTTGGATCTTCGGTTTGCTTTCTTTCAGATGGCTCGGAGAAATGAAACTTACTATCTTATGATTGTGTCCGCTGAGAGGGCCAGGAGGGATGATCATGATGGGCGTGTGGTGAGAACGCCACTCCAAAGGGAAACTGAAGAGCGGGACCTTGAGATGCCAGTAGTGGGTAGATGCTGGAGAAAGTAACTTACTTAAGAGTGTTAAGAAAGGAGATCGCTCGCGTGGCTTTATCATTCGATCAGTTCTTGCTGTTGGACAGACATGAACTCATTACTAAACTATATTATTAACTTAACCAGAACAAGAGATCTAAGCAGTTGTGGGATCGCAGTCGATCGGGTCAGGTGCTAAAAAGAGGAGTATCTAGAACCTATCACGTACGTACACACACAATGCAGAGTAACCCAGGAAAGAGTAAACGAATGGCGAGAAGAACAACGCACACGAAGATTAGTATCTACTTACTCCATACACGGTACCCATAATTACTTTCTGGTAGTGTCGGGCGCTGAATGCGACCATCAGCTCCAAACGAACGGTACTAGCCCGCCCAGGTTTAGGATTATCTGGAAATCGATGATTTGCGGGTTCGCGTACGCACTTGTAATTTCAGCACCGGTTGAGGGTGGGCTTGGCAGGTTGTCGTGTGAGTTCTGTCCTCCAATTCTCCTCGGCAAACAAATCAGGCGGAATATGCGGAAAGGACGTGTGGAAAGTGGCAAGAAGACTCCCCCGTCAGTCCATTCTTTGGGAGTGGGAAAGGACAAAAAGGATCATATTCGATGCAGGTATCGGGTGAGGATATCATCAGTCGATATATTTGCAATTTTTTTATCTTAAGTACTTCTGTAATGTGTGCAGGGTGCAGGACCAAGCGCAATGCTAAGCGTCGACAGGGGAGCCAAAGTACTTCTCCGTAGACGGAGGGAGAGAGGACACTGTAAGAAACGGTCACAAGTACCCGTTTCTAATACCGTCTAGTAATTTCTCCGCAACGGACTCGAGTATGTAATCGCCGAACTCCCCACTGGCGGGAATCATGCTATGCCCACTAGTCCCAGTTGAGCCACTTCCCTCCTCATCCCGATCGCCTTCAGTTCAACTGGTTTGCTTTGCCCGCAACCCTTTCCTCTTCCCTTCTCTCCCTTTTCCTATTCTAGACCCTTTCGAAAACTACTAGTTTTCCCTCTCCTCCTTGAAATCCCCATCTTTCATTGCACTCCCCTTTCCCCCTCGTCATATTCTTCTCACCCCCCCTATTGACGTCGCTCGTCTTACGTTCTTGTCCCCGTTTCTCCGCTGTGTCACCATGTCCGCAGTACTTCGCCGCAGTACCATGATGGAATGTACCCACCGTCACCGTTCTTAATCATCCGCTGGCTGAAACTGTGATTTTTCATTTTTCGTCGCGAGGCATAGTAGATCTGTCGGATCATTCTATTTTGGACTACTCGTGCAGCGATATAGCCTCCGAAATACGATCTGTATCCACTATCGCGCCAACTGGGTTCAGCTTTCGCCTGAGGACCGCCGCTTCGCTATTAATCAGCGAGCTGACGTCGTCTCTCTTACACCTGTTTTATCTAGTATACTGTGGTTGATTCGCTTACGGACTCAAAATGGAAGGGATTGAGACTGTGGATGTCAGCTGGCTGCATCACTCGCAAAAAGGTAAGCCGGACGCCGCTCAATTGCTACCATATCTACTCTGGTGTACCTCTCCTAACGCGATCGCAAGACCATCTGTCGCGCTGTAAGTCGGCATCATCAGTGGTTAGCGATAAGTCTGTCGCGGATTCAGATGTCACATATGCCCAAGAACGAAGTCTCGAAAAACCAAGCACTACCGATAATAACTCCTCAGCATCAGCCCCCCTCACTCCTACCATATCTAAGGGTTCGTCACAAGAAGATGATGCGAAGGCCACGAAGGAGGTCAAGAATGAAGACAAGTCAGTGGAGGGAAGGCCTACTGGCACATCGCCAGCTACTCCGAAAACCGCGCCTAGGCCGGTTACCGGACGAAGGAACTCTTGGATATCAACCCTGAGCTCCAAGTTTTCCTCTGGTTCTACGCCACCGTCGCAGTCGAATATGAAGGCACAGCAGAGCCCGAAGGCGACCTCTCCTGTTTCGAAAATGGACATGCATAATCCTTTCGGTGCGGCGTATTCCCCAAAGGACAAGGAAGAAGAGAGGACGAACGAGAATAGCCCTTTCGCCTCAACATCTCCGAAAGGTCCTTCGTTCCTTCAGAGCGCCTTCCGGAAACTTTCGTCATCCGCATCTGGTGGCACTGGTAAAGCCGCTTCTACTGGGACGATCTGCCAACGTCGCGTAATGAATATCGATCCGGATCGAGATAGGTGCAAGATCCCGGATCTAAATCCTGCCCAATTGCGTCGTGTCGCTTTCTGTGTGGATGTGGAGATTGCTGGGATATCCTACCGAGAATCGGATGAAGACAGCCCACCAGCAAGTAGTAGGCGACGTCCTGTCCCAGAGGTTAACAACCAAAAGTCCAAACGATCGCATATCAAGTCGAAAGAGAAGGAGGAAGCTGCAGCGCTGAAAAATCCTCAGGCTGTGGTTTCTTCAAAGGATAAGGGTAGCCCAACAAATGGGGCGGACGGGAAAAGTTCTGGGTCACCAGACACACCGCCAGCCGAAGCGAATGCCAATGGCGAGACAAAAGAGCCAACACGAAAGCAGGAGAAGAAGAAGAGGTCAGAAGAAGAGAGGCGTGAGCGCAGGGAAAGAAGGCGCAGACAGGCAGAAGCAAATGGCTCCATACCCATGCAACTCACAGCCGACGGCCAAGAGTATGGCTGCCGAACACCTGCGTCTAACACGAGCCGAACCAAGACACAGAGTCATCCAACGACAGATCCTGTGCGGATATATAGACGCTGTTGTCAACTGCGCGAGACGCCTGTGCTCAAGCGGATCGTTGACGAGATCTCATCACCTTCCTCCACGTTAGCCGAGTCTCCAGGAACCGTGGCCGTGCTTGACCTCAGCGACTTCCCTATGACGGCCGAGGATATTGCTACTTTCTGCGATTGGCTCGCCGTTGTGCCCGTTCGAAAGCTCATCATTGAAAGATGTGCTCTGACTGACGACTCAGTGCGATCTATTCTCGCTGCACTACTTTCCACTAGAACTGTGGAACAGATGATGCAGCGGCGTAGAAAGGGAAAGAAGGCAGAGGTGGTGTCTTCGGAGAAAGAACAGCGGTTCAGCGTCGTTGAGAAGGTGTCGCTGAAAGATAACTCCAAAATCGGACCAGAGGGATGGCGTCATATCTGCCTATTCGTCCACCTATCAAAATCCTTGAAGGCGATTGACTTGTCTGGCATTCCTCTTCCCAAGACACCCATTACTGTTAATTGCTCCAACAAAGGAGCCTCGCAAACCCAGAACGTCACCAACGTAGCAACCCTCTTCGCGAATTCGCTCGCACAACGCTTTGGCGGGGACCACCTGGAAGAATTGCTGCTGAGCGAATGCCGACCTACGACCGAAGATGTGAAGAAGATTTGTGATGCAGCCACCACTCTTGGCTTGAGGAGGCTTGGCTTTGCCAATAACGAGCTGAGCAGGGAAGGTCTGGAGCACATCGTTGATTATCTCAAAGCCGGAAAATGCGAGGGGCTAGATCTGGGTGGGAATCCCATTCAAGACCAGTTGGACTTGATCATATCTTCTTTCACGGAAGACCATCCGCTGTATGCTCTTAGCTTGGCTGACTGTTCCCTTACGCCTTCCACCGTCTACCCCCTGTTCCAAGGATTGACAAGATTGCCGGACCTTCGCTTTGTCGATTTCTCCCACAATCCAGGTCTTTTCACTATGCAGCCCGATGCGCTAGCAACCTTCAGGCGTTTTCTTCCCAAAATGCCTGCTCTTAAACGTATCCACCTTGCCGACGTCAACTTGTCTCCTGACCAAACCATTGCTTTGGCCGAGGTTCTTCCTGAGTGCCCCAGCTTATGCCACTTGAACATCCTCGAAAACCCAGCCATTACGGCGTTGGCATCTGCAACAGATCCCGCCAATCAAGAAGAGGCATGTGCTGTTTATGCATCCTTGATGGCGGCAGTGCGTGTGTCCAGAACGATCATAGCCGTGGAGATAGAAGTTCCAACTGCCGAAAACAACGAGGTTGTGAAGGCTTTGGCTTCCCAGATAGTCGCCTACTCTCTCAAGAATCTGGAGCAAGGTGCCATTGCGGCAGAGTTTTCCGATCCAACAGATACATCGACGAGATCAGCCGTCCATGTTCCGGAAATTTTGCAGCATATCGTTGGCCACGGTACTGGAGATGAGGTGGAGGAAATTGACGAGGCTGCACCTGATGAAGACTATGTCATTGGAGGGACCGGCGTGGTCAAAGCTCTCGGTGTTTGCCTCGGTAACGTGGATCGCCATATGCCAGGAGACCAGTCCGGACCCCCAAGTGGCACAACTACACCCAGGCATAGGAAGTCCAGGTCTTATGTCACTAAACGACCCCGTGACATGTCTAAGAATCTATTGGAGTCGGCGCGTAATATCCGGACGCGAATCCAGTCGGCCCTTGTGCGCGAAGACAAGGCCGGCAATGATACCAATTACCGTATGTTGTTTCTCCTACTCTCCCCCCATCTTAGGCGGTGACGCTAACCAGCTCTACCATTGCAGGGCGTCTCCAATTCCTCGACTTCACCTTACAGCGCATGATCCAGCGATTTGAAGACGAATATCCTGAGACCCGCATCATACCCCAGTCCATCCCATCGTATGCGATCCAGGATACTAGCTCACAGGGTTCTAACGACGACGGATGGAACGGGCCTGTGTCTGAAAACACCCAGCTGAATGGCACCTGCGCTGATGCCGAGGCCGTGGCAGACGAGGAGGAGGAGCAATATGCCGTCCGACTATCGCGGTCAAGCTCGATTACGTCGCTTCATTCACGCGCAATGACCTCCGAGGAAGGCCATGTTCACCGTCTCGGGCAGAACATTCGGCGCGATTTCCTCCGGCCTTCGTTCGATCAGGCTGACGATGATATGTCGGCATTCTCATTTGAGGAGTCCCATATGGCCGCCTTGCGTGATAAACTTGATCGTCTGCAGGAGGAACAAACCCACGCACCTTTTGAAAGCGTGGATGCGGACAAAGCGCTTGGAGATCTGGGTACCACAGTGGAGGAGTTATGGGCCGCTCGTAAGAACGATGCGGAAACCTTTGAGAAGTTCCGGCAAAGCCAGATCGCTGCGCAATTCAACAGTGGCAAAAGGACATCGTCTAGCAGGAGCAATGGGAACGACGATACCGAATCAGATCAGCAGGCTTCTTTCTGAGTTAGAACCTGAGTTGACTGGGTTAATCATAGCCGATTTCTGGCTTTTGTTAACACCCACAGGTGCTTCTTCCCTCGTCTAGCTGGCGATGGAGCTACTGTTTCTGTATGGACGGATGACTGGGATCTCTGCCGGCAGAGAATGGCCCTTGTTTGTATATAGGTCACCGAAAAGAGTGACATTCTTATCTGTATTCTAATCTACTTCGCACATGCAATGTGTATCTGCGGTGGCAATCTCCTTTCTTTTTACCTATTGTTTGTTTTTCTTTTTCGTTAGTGGATGGGGCAAATACAGGCTAAGGGTGGGTAAAGGCGTCGGTGGCAAAGGTGCATGGGAGAATCTGGGACATATAGAGAGTTGAGTACTACGAGAGGTGGTGAGGGTAGGGTGTTGATGTTGATACCAATTATGGGTTGAATTATTAGCGATGGTGAACGACTTAATAATCAACATTTTAGAAGAATGTAAACAGTTCCCCGCTTAGATAAGGCGGACATCCTCGGCAGGCCCCGAGAATCCGGGGAGGGAAGGAGCCCCCGGGCCTATTCACATGTCAAGCCCCCATCCATCATCCTTCCATCGTCATCCCCTCGCTCTTCTCCCCCATCAGATCTTCCTCCCTCCCTCCTTATCTCTCTTCATCTTCATCCTCTTTCTCGTTCCTCTTCATCTCCCCTCCTTTCCCTTTGTCTTCACCGGTCATGTTAGCCGTCATCGACTTCGGCTAACTACACTTCCGGGGTTCACGTCGCAACTATGGCTGCGCAATCCAAGTTATTTCCGCCCGAGCGGTCCATCCGACACCTCTTCTCCCGCCTGGCTGCCACCTACCTCCGTCATCGTAAACAAATCTCCCGTACTGTGTATTTAGCTCTTTTCGCCGCTCTCGTGAAACGCGTCCATAATGCCATCTCCGAGCAAAAGGCCGCCTCCCAGCACCAGGAAGAACTGCGCCGACGCCCTGGAACCAGTAGTCTTGGCGAAGGCGGCGATCGTCCGCGCAAAAAGGTCGAAGTCAACCGGGAATTCTTTCGCAATCTGCTTCGTCTGTTGAAGATCGTGATCCCCGGTTGGCGGAGCAAAGAGTTACGGCTTCTGTTTGGCCACAGTGTCTTCCTGGTGCTGCGGACACTGCTGAGTCTGTATGTGGCCGAGCTGGATGGCCGGCTGGTTAGCAATATGGTGAGAGGGAGAGGTAAGGACTTCTTGCTGGGGCTAGTGTGGTGGATGATAGTGGCAGTTCCTGCGACATTCACAAACTCCATGGTAAGTGGCTTCATGTCCACAGAAGAGAAAGGTCCAAGAGCTAAGTCCCTTTTGCGTTGCGGTAGCTATCTTATCACCAATGCAAACTCGCTCTCTCTTACCGCAAACGCCTGACAGACTACATCCATGACAAGTATCTGTCGAACATGACGTTCTATGCCATATCCGCTTTGGACGATCGGGTCAAGAACCCCGACCAGCTCATCACAGTAGATGTTTCCAGGTTCTCCGACAGCCTGGCAGAGCTGTACTCCAACCTGGCAAAACCCATTCTTGACATGGCCATCTACAACTACTCTCTTTCCAAGAGTGTAGGCGGAGAAGGCCTGTTTATCATGAGCCTCTTGGTGCAATTATCCGCCAATGTTATGCGAGCCTTGACGCCACCATTTGGCAAATATGTGGCCGACGAAGCACGTCTAGAAGGCGAGTTCCGGTTCCTGCACTCGCGTTTGATCGACTACAGCGAAGAGGTGGCTCTCTACCATGGTCACGAGGCAGAAAAGGATACCTTGGATAAGGGCTACTTCACTTTGATCAAACACGTGAACCGCATTCTTCGTAGACGCTTATACCACGGATTCATGGAGGATTTCGTTATCAAGTACTTCTGGGGCGCCTTGGGATTGATCCTCTGCAGTATACCTGTCTTCTTCCGCATTCCCGGCCAAGTCACTCAAACTATGGGTGACCGTACCGAGAGTAAGCATTTGCACCCAGGCTAGAGACCTACACATCAGCACTACGACTGACATTCATCAAATAGGCTTCGTTACCAATCGGAGAATGCTGCTTTCTTCCTCAGACGCCTTTGGGCGTCTAATGTTCTCCTACAAAGAAATATCCGAACTAGCCGGCCACACAGCCCGCGTCTCCTCGTTGCTAGAGGTTATGGACGACCTCTTAGCCGGCCGTTTTGAGAAGAAGCTAGTGTCCTCCGCCTCCACAGAAGAAAACACAGCCATCTTATCCGGCCGCGGAGTCGTCGAAGAAAGTGATTCAATCGAATTCACCGATGTGCCTATTGTTTCACCAAACGGTGATGTTCTGGTCCGCAAACTGTCCTTCACCGTGCACCCAGGCGACCACCTTCTGATTGTTGGGCCAAACGGATGCGGCAAGTCCTCCCTGTTTCGCATCCTCGGCGGCCTATGGCCTGTTTATGGAGGCCAGGTCAAGAAGCCCCGATTTGACGACATCTTCTACATCCCTCAGCGCCCGTATCTTTCGCGAGGTACGCTCCGCCAACAAGTTATCTACCCAGATGGTGTCCGCGAAATGCGCGCCAAGGGCATTACTGACGATGATCTCTACGAGATTCTCTCGGTCGTGGAGATCGCTTCCGTTGTTGATCGCCCTGGAGGTTGGGACGCTGAGGAAGAATGGCGCGAGGTCCTATCTGGCGGTCTGCAACAACGGATAGCCATGGCCAGACTATTTTATCATCGGCCAAAATTCGCCATTTTGGACGAGTGCACCTCCTCTGTGACTTTGGAGATTGAACGGGTCATGTACGAAACAGCCAAGAAGCTAGGTACTACGCTGATGACTGTGTCCCACCGACGGAGTCTTTGGAAATATCACAAGAAGATTCTGCAGTTTGATGGGCAAGGAAGCTACATCTTCACTGGTCTGGACTGGGAAAGGAGACTAAAGTTGGAAGAGTAAGTTGCTTCGCTCCGAGTTGTTTTGGTGGCTGCACCATGGGAGATGAGCTAACACAGCGGTTTATTACAGTGAGAAGGAGGAGCTGGACCTCCAACTTCGCATGGTGCCAGAGTTGCAGAGGCGCATGGCTGAATTGAGCGCTTAGGGCCGTGTTTTGTACACGTGTTCATTCTCTTAAAGGGATATAGAGTATATATGGGGTTTATAGTTGTCGTCGCTGTGTCACTTGCTGTGCGTGGTTGCGTTATGGTATGTGTAGCGCGTTTGGGGCAACTTACACATTCATGATTAATGTAGAAGACGCATGGAACTTTGTAAGAACAGTTATTTGCATAGAATATAGCTGTTTGATAATTGCTGATCCAAACAATGAGTTACTGCGGAGTGAATGAATGGCTCCGTCATAAGCATCTCTCTCCTGTTCATCGGGCAGCGTTACGAGTGTAGGGTCCATGTAATAGTAGAAGTTCAATCCAACTCGCCAAGAGGAAAGAAAAGCGGAAGAATAGAGCGGGTGACAAAACGGCAAACCGAAAGGAAGGACCAGATGATGCAGGAGTCCAACTTCAACAATGGCCACTGTCTAATTTTCCACCTCGAGGGGCTCTACATTCCAAATGCTTTCGGCGTACTCATTGATCACGCGGTCGGTCGAGAAGAAACCCATGCGTGCCACACTGGTGATGGACTTGGCTAACCACTCTTCGCGGTTCTGGAATGACTCATCTACCAAGTCCTGCGTGGTGATATACGAGTTGAAGTCGTCAGACACTAGGTAGTAATCTCCGTGCTCAACAATGGAGGCGATGAGTGCGGAGAAGTTGTTTACATCACCGAACATGCCGCCACGAATTGCATCGAAGACTTTAGCCAAGTGAGGATCGAGCTGGAAATCGCCGTAGAGGTGTCGGTGGCGAAGCTCTTCCACATCTTCTGCTAGATTTCCAAAGAGAAATATGTTCTGCTCCCCAATTTCTCTGGTAATCTCGATCTATACAGGGGCAATAGTCAGTGCTAGCATCGCAGACAGGATATAGGGCTTCATACGTTAGCACCGTCGCAGGTTCCAATGATCAAGCCACCGTTCATGACGAATTTCATATTACTAGTACCGCTGCCCTCCGTACCAGCGGTTGAGATGTGCTCGCTGATATCAGACGCTGGACAGATAATCTCGGCCTTACTGACGTTGTAGTCCTCGACAAAGATCACCTTCAAAAGATCACCAACTTCAGGGTCATTGTTTACCACGGATGCAACTTTGTTAATCAGGTGAATAACAGTCTTTGCCATCCAGTAGCCTGGGGCTGCTTTGCCTCCAAAGACAGATACGCGCGGCAGTGCCTTCTTTTTCTCTTCCGCAGACATTGACTTGATCCTCAAGTATCGGTGGATGACACCGAAGATGTTAAGCTGCTGCCGCTTGTACTCATGGATACGCTTGACTTGAATATCAAACAAAGCCTGTGGATTCACACTGTAACCGGTTGTCTCTTTGATGTGTTTAGCGAGACGAATCTTGTTCGCGGTCTTAATCTCGGCCCATTCACGTTGGAAAGCCTTGTCATCAACGAAAGCCTCGAGCCGGTCTAAAAGTGTCAAATCAGTCAAGAATTGATATCCTCCGAGCCTGGAAGCGATTAGATCAGACAATCGTGGGTTTGCCTGGTGTAGCCAACGACGTGGAGTAACACCATTGGTAACATTGGTGAACTTGTCCGGGCCGTATATTGTCACGAAATCCTTGAAGAGGGTGGTCCGCAATAGATCTGAGTGTAGTTCTGCGACCCCATTGACTTTATGGGAGCCAATAATAGCGATGTAAGCCATCCTCACCATCTTCGGGTGGGACTCTTCAATAATCGACACCCGAGACAGTAAGTCTCTATCTTGCGGAAAGTTCTTTTCAACATGTTGGAGGAAATATAAGTTGATGTCGAAAATGATCTGCATGTGCCGTGGTAGCAGGTTTTGCACCAACGGGACAGACCACTTCTCCAGGGCCTCTGGCAAAACCGTGTGATTCGTATACCCGAAGGTCTTTGTCACGATAGCCCATGCCTCGTCCCACTCGAGACCTTCATTATCAATCAAAATGCGCTGAAGTTCGACTATAGCCAAGGTTGGGTGGGTGTCATTCAATTGAATGGCAACCTGGTCGGGAAACTCGCTCCAAACTCTCTTGGTCTTCTTGAATCTCCGGACAATGTCGAACAGAGAGGCAGCACACCAGAAGTACTGTTGTTTAAGTCTTAGCTCCTTACCCCTGTCAAGGTTGTCATTCGGATAGAGCACCGCAGAGATTGTCTCCGCACGTTGTTGCTCTGCGACAGCACTTTCGTAATCGCCAGCGTTGAATTTCTGGAAGTTGAACTCTCCGCTGGAAGCCTTGCAAGACCACAGCCGAAGATTGTTCGTGGTCCGTGTGCCATAGCCCGGGACAGGAACATCGTACGCTACTGCTTGCACAGTTTCGCCGTCTTGCCATGAGTGGATGGTTTTACCATTCTCGTCCTGGTATTTTCTCACCCAGCCATAAAACTGAATATCGACAGTGATTTCATGCCGAGGGAACTCCCATGGGTTGAAGTCAAGCCAGTAGTCGGGGACTTCCATCTGATACCCGTCTACAATTTCCTGCTTGAAAATACCATAACGGTAGCGTAGACCGTAGCCCCAGGCTGGATAGTTCAATGTCGCCAGACTGTCGAGTAGACACGCAGCCAAGCGTCCAAGACCTCCATTTCCCAGTGCAGCATCATGCTCCTGGCTAATGACATCTTCGACTCGGAAGCCAAGGTCCTTCAGACCCTCTTATCTCATAGGATTAGTAAGATGTATTGGGCATTTGTTCCAGGATTCCTACCTCTTGCAACGTCCTTCAAGCCGACATTGAGCATGGCATTATCCAAAGCTCGGCCCATAAGGAATTCGAGAGAAAGATCTGGCAAGTGTTCTCACAGATAAGTGAATGATAGTCTAAGTATTTCAAGGATCCGCTCACAATACACTCGCTTCTGGTCGGCAGAAGCTTGTCGCTGTTGCGTCTTATTCCATTCGATGATCAAGCGATCTCGAAAGGCTAGGGCGGTTCCAGAGTATGCGGCCCTAATACGTCAGCGGTTCGTTCCCTGATGCTGTCCAGCGAGTGTTAAAATACAATTCGTCACAGTTGTACAAGGAGCGAGCCAAAGTAGTTTCGATGTGGCGGACCAGCTCATCCTATTCACATCATAAGTGAAATGCTCGACGCTGTATGTACTATCCAACTTACTTCGAACTCTTCTTTGTTGGCAAATCCATTGACGGACTATGACAAACACAGGCTTAGCAAAACGATCTCAGATGTCAAAGCGCGTCATCGAGTATCCTACGTGCTTCCGCCATCTAGGATACAATGCAGGTCAGCGATACTCCTGTGACGGTTGAATATGAAACAAGCTTGCAGCTTTGCAGCTATGGAGAGCGATAGGCTATCATGGCAAAAGGGCTATATCAGGAGCAATACTCACGCCTCCCTAAGATGCTCGGGAATACTAGCTTCGACACTTTTGATCTCTGCGGGTCCGAAGCCGGTGAAGGTACGTCTGTGCTTGGGACGACTGAAGCCGGGACCAATAGGTCCTTGGAGCTCAGACACCGGAGCTCCAACCGAAGGCTTTCTTTCACGACGAGGCTGTTCCGAGGCCATTGTAGCTGAACAAGCGTTGAAGTGGCGGAAACACTAGCTAGTTCAAGAAGTGGTCAATAGACTAGCCCAACGATTTGAGTATGAGGCATTCAATAACAAAGAAGCCTGAGCTAAGGGGAGCGCCTCGAATCCTATTGTGGGAAAAGGCGAAAGAGAAAAGGGGGAAAGACTTGGGAGGGAGGGGGAGAAGACAAAGAAGAAGGAAGGAAGGAAGGAAGTAGTGGGAGGGGGGTGGGAGCGAGGTACTGTAAGTAGTACCACGGACTGACTATACTTCACTATAGTAAGAATAGAGAGTAGCAGACCTTCACTTCCCCCTCCCTCCCTTTCTGTCAATCAACCGCGTGACAAGGGTGTCTAAATTGCAATGCTGGGATCAAAGCAGGGCATGCGAAACAACCGGGAGGGGTAATATGGAAGTCTGGGATGGCAGTTGGCGATAGATGGAGGATCGAACAGGAATCCGGAATGGATGATCATACGTTTGGCCCCCGGGTTCTCATGCAATGTCGTGCGAGGCAAGTGTCTAGACTTTCATGGAACTTCCAACTAGCTCAATTCGCAAAGAGAACAGCGTAACTGGGCAACGCCCTAAGCTGCCGTGTAGCTCCCTGAATGCTAGACCAGCATTGGATGGAGGAGGATGTGTGTGTTGACTGACGGATTGTCCGGAACTGGGCCTGAACTCAATAGAAGTCACGACGTTTCCTTGGAAAGAGGGGTTTTAGGCGACAGAAACGAGACAAAACAGCATGAATTAATTCATCACTGCTCCACCACCACCATCTCGTCCGTCTGACAGTCGCCGTCTGGCCTGACCGGAGCTGCCGCTATGACGCATGGTGAATCGGGGAGGGGAGGAAGTAGTAACTACTAGTGGAGTGGATGGAGGAAGGATTGACTCTGGAACTGGGTGACGGTGTATCGATACCGTATAGTAAGTAAACAGTCTTGTCTACTCCAGTTACTACTAACAGTTGCTGCTTTTTTGATCGCCAGAACTACTAAACTGCCACTACTACAGGTCTGGTCTCTACGACATCAACCACATGTAATGTTGCATACAATACAATGTACTATTTCTGTTATACTCTTTACTTTTCCCTCTTTTGATTGCATCTTCCTTTCTACAGCTCTTTGGAATAAATCTACTACTACTACTACTACTAACCACCCGCCCGCAGCTCAGTCCTCCGGGTCCAGTCCATCTCCGGCCTCATCCCCCCCACCCCCGCACTGCAACCTTCCTGTTTGATCGGCGGGTCATCAACGTTCTCCCCCGTCTATCATTTCATTCGAGCGCTAGGATCAACGGTCTGAGCTCGAGGAACTCCGCGCGAGCCATGGGCGTTTCCCATGACCTTTGCACGATGCAAGCCCTCGCCAATGTCTTGACTGGTTCCCGTAAACTAGCGAAAGAAACCAACATGAAGCGGCGCTCGGAGCTTTCCATACCTACATGCCCAGTCGACCTCGCTGCGAATTGTCTGGCCGCACTCTCAACCACCAGCTGGGACGGTAATGGTGTCTGGAGGCACTGCCACAACTGGCTTTGGCCTAGATATGCTCGCCTTTTGGGCGGGCAAGAGAACGTCAAAAGAAGTAACATCGACTTCAAGACAGTAAGCAGCACGCCTAACAGCATCATCTGATCGGAGCCGCTCCGCTTGCAATGGGCAGCATCACTGCACAAAGGGCACGGTGACATTTCATGGGTAAGAGATCAATTGCATGCATAGGATCGCTACAACAAGCTGCGTGGTATAGACGGGACGATAGAAAATCAACAGCAACAAAACAGAATGCCGGGTAATAGCATAGAAAATTAGAGAAGTATGTAAAGAGAGATCGCCATTAGATGCAGAAACAAGTCATGGGAAAAGAAAAGAAAAGAAAAAAAGAAAAAAATAAGGGTTATAGGAAATTCCGGGGGCATGAAACAGGATATCAAAAGGCTTTGCGCAGTCCACGTGCAAAGAATGTAATGCCAAGGCCTGTGGCTCCCTCTTCCTGTTATTGAGGACCTTGAGCTCATTGATTGAAGATCAGCCCCAGGAGTTGGACGTGGTCTGTTATGGCCGATGCAGATAGAAAAGCCCCAAGAAACATATCATCCTGAAAGATCACAAATGAGAAGGAAAACTTGACACCATGCCACAAATTCCAATGACCATGAACCAACCCAGCGCCAGGCACATTGAACTGTGAGGTCAACTTAGCACCGTAACGCCGATGCCTACCGACTGAACACAATGTGATGAACAAACGAACAAAGAAAATCAAAAGATAACGAACGCCAAAGCTGCAAAAAGGGTGTAAATCAGAAGCATCAAAGCTTCAGAGAAATGAGGTTCATCAGTAAAACCGGGCTGGAAGACTGACGAGTGAGAGGGCAGATAGGACGGCCTCTACACAACGTAGGCAATCGCCGAAGTGGAGAATCACGGTAACGTAAACCGGGTCTAGTTGCTCTTTCAACGATAGCTGCCTCACAGAATACCCGAATCCTTGAGGGCATTTTGCAGGATTGTTTCCTTTACAGCGGCGAATACCAGACGGATATTCGTCGTGTCGGTAGCCTGAGTCAGACTTGAGGGCGAATTAGTGATTACACAGCACGAGCAGGTATGACCAAAACTTACTGAGGGTAAAGATTCAGATGCGCTCTGTTGACTTGATTGAATCTCCAAAGAAGGTATTTGGCCGCCCGATTCACGTCATTGCCGCCGGAATAGTCCGGAAAGTAATGGTTCAATGGAGATCGAGGAAGCTTTTGTTTGAAAAGATCGACCTTGTTTAGGAAAAGAATTATGCTCGTTCGCATAAACCATCGAGAATTGACCACGGAATCGAACAGGACTAAGCTTTCCATCATGCGATTCTGAAAGCGAGATCAGCAGTGGCGCATGGGCAGGGCGATGAAGCGCTCCGAGACATACCTGATTGCTCTCCTCCAATAATACTTGGTCATACTCACTCAGCGCCACGCAGAAGATGATGGATGTTACGTTTTCAAAGCAATGAATCCACTTCTTCCGCTCGCTCCGCTGGCCGCCAACATCGAACATACTATGTGACAAGTCAGCAAATTGTCGATGAAACAGGGGTCACCTTCAAGGAGAGGACAGGTCATACTGTATGCTAAGCTGGCCCATGGTAAATCGCGTCTCATATATACCTGTCGTTTTTGTTCGCGCGCGGAGTACATCATTTACGTTGGGTATGTAATCTGGGGAAGCTATCCGCTTAGCTTCATCAAAGAAACTAGAAGGACTCGGTCAGCAGCTGTGCTTGTGGTAGGACTCGATTTGACGCAAGCACTTACTATGGCGCAGAATCCATCAGATAGAATTCGTTCTGATGCTCCAGCACATTGGAAGTACAAGGGTCATTCCAGAGATACGTTATCGCATCACCGACCCGAGAATCCAGGGGTATATTTGGATCAGGGTCAATGTTATAATCGGAAAGGAATTGGATGTAGTCGCGGACTTTTTGACTTGAAGGTTCTAGCGAGAACTGGTGGTAGGCTGCTATGAGAGATTTGGTACAATCGAGGAGGTTCTTGTAGACCGTTAGGCGATATAACGCCAGCTCTTCAACTGTGTACCCATTTTGGTGGATGATCTTCATTTGCTTGACGATGGTCGACTTGCCGCTTTCTCCGGAACCTAACATCACACACGATATCACAGTTAGCAAGAGTTGAGCTTGAGATAGCATCGGCCGTCGTATAGCCGGATGAGGAGAATGCAACTAACCAAGCAATAGGATCTTGCACTCTCGCCGTAGTCGCCTAGAGTCCTCTTCTAGTTTTCGGTCGATTGCCTGGCTCCTCCGCTTCGACTCCGCATCTCCTGTCGCTTCCGTGCTCACACACGAACCCATGTTCTCGGTATGATTCCCAGACAGCGAAAAGCTAACCCATTAGCTGCCTGCGGAAGGATACGGCATCAACCTGTCAGGACGCTGAGACCCGACGCCGACGGGAGAGGCGAATACCCAGACGAGTGGCAGCTCCAACGACCCAAACAGACAGATGTGATTGCGGACGGAAGGTTATGAGCGGCGCAATGGGGAGGATATCGCTGCAGCGATCGGAACGGGGAGAGCAAGAGAGACGTTGGTATATGCGATCGACAATGGAGTTCGATCAGGGATCGAGGCTTGCGCGCGTAGTGGCCGAAGGCAGAGCCACAACAGACGGCTCGAGGTCGAAACGGGGAAGGCCGGAGCGACGACGACTGCAAGCTCCCGGGGAGGCGGAGGTGTTGGCTCGTGACGCAGGAGGTGGAAAGGAAGCAGGGGAGACAGCGAAGCAACGAAAAGACGCCGAGCCCAAGCGCGGAGTAGGATGGTTCTGCTGGAGGTTTGATCGAGAGGGTGAGGGGTGTCAAGAGAACCAACTGCGGAGCAGGAAAGCGAGCGAGAATGACGACCTGACGCTAAAAAGGGTAGTTAAAGTCGATCGGGGGGGTGATGATGTGGGAGAGTGGATGAGAGCGCGGATCTCGAGTGTGAGATAATGTAAGCAATGGGGATCAGTCGTCGGTCGGGTCGATCAATCAGGCGGGTAATAGTAGTTAAGGGAGGAAGGAGATGAGATGGGATGGGATGGGATGGGATGGAGGATGGGGGGGAAATAATGCGCGGACGTGTGAATATGAAAGGGAATTAGGTATTATTACTGGTCATTATAAAGGAGAAAATAAGTTCGTGTGCGTTAATTAGTAGGAAAGGAAAAATGAGGGGGTGGAGGGAGGAAGAGGAGTAAGGTGAATGGTAGGATGTGATTGATTGATGGAAGGTTAGTTCGTAGTGGTTGGTAGAGAGGATGGGATGGAATGGGGATGGGATGGGATGGGATGGATGGGCCAGTTGTGGATGTTTCCCAATCGTCATCTAGACAGGTGGAAGTGGAGATGGCAGAAAGACAGAGGAGAGGATTACATACTCGCTCGATCGTAGGGGCGCGGGTGGGTATTTGGGAAAAACGTGGACCGGGCGACCCAAGCTTACCGCGAGTGAAAGACATAAAGGGAGAGATGGAGAGACCAAGAGAGAGGAGAAAGAGAACTTCTGGCGCTAAATGGGGGTTTGAATGGGTGAATGGATCTGATCGATCTTGGGGTTGTATGTAAGTATAATATTCCCTCCCTCCAAAAAAAAATAACGATAATAATAATAATAATAATAATAATAATACCCTCTACTATTCCGATCTCTATGTCAATGGTCGGGTTCACCTGATGGCCAAAGTTCTCCCTCTCCAGAGCATGTCTGATAGTACTCCTACTTCTTTTAGACCCTCCCCATTAGCCCCTAAAGAAACATAACCCACGCTTTACCTACTACTACTAGGCTACTATTCTTGTGGTCAGATTTGTGGGCAGGCCGGGGGAGGCAAAAAGAAAAAGGGACTAATGTACTAGTAACCCAAAACGCCAGTGGCAGCAATTACAACGAGTCAGGCCAGACAGGGCACACTCAGTTTGCCTAGCTGCTAGGCTTTCTCTGTCGCTCGTAATATTTTAGCGTGTGTCTTGTCTTCTTCCCTTTCCTCCAACCAACACTTACTACAACGACTACTGTGCGTCCACAAACCCCGAGTGAAGGGTTTGATTCTCTATTGACGGTATTTGTGTCACATCTGGTCTAGAGCCGATTCGGTGGTACGCCGTGCTCCTGAATATCCAAACAAACATTATTCGCATATCCTCTTGACGCAGGGAGTGAGTGTCGATCCTCTTATATACTTGATCTTCTATATGATACATTTCTTCTTTGGTTGATTATTGTGTATTTCTTATTCGTATTGATGGTATCCTTTTTCTCAGTTTCATTTACCTTTCAGAGCATCATCTTGCCCAGCAGCACATGAAGTGAGGCTGTGGCTAACAACAGCACCCGAGTGGAACACTGTGTGCTTAGAAGATCGTCAGACTAACCGGGGCAATTCATGAGGCTACCTGGTCACTTGTCGCTACATCCAATAACATCATCCAACAGTCCCGATCAACTTAGTACTTTGCACTTAAGCATGATAGATACCAGTATTCGCTGGCCTGTCAATATAAAGATCAGCTCAGCCCCCAATTGACTGCAATTGAAGTACCAACTTGTGTTATAGCCATGTTTGGACTGTATCAAGAATACTAGTGTAGTGGCGCCCCTTGTCGAGCATCCCGTCCTGGATGATCGTTTTGGACGTATCCGAAAATGAATGACTTGATTCTAAGTTTTCTCATTTTCTCACTATGGAGTACACTAGTATCCGTTTTGAACTCCTCTTTTCCCCCCACTGCCCTCGAATCCTTCGTTAATAATAGGAACTTGGATCGGAGAAATGTTTTGAGACAACAACCATGTGCACATGAAACACTGGCTGTAGCTACCACAACTGAAAACACCCCTAGCCCTCTTTCTTTTCCCTCACCATAGTTACATCCATTTTTACTCTCTTGACCATCAGAACTTTATGCTGTAAAACACAGAAGATGGTGTGGTAAATCCTAACATCTCTGTACACAACAGCAGAAATTCACCTCGAGAGCGTGCCATGCGAGTGAAAGAAAATTGAGGATGGATAACCGAGTTTAAATGCAATGGAATGATGGATTCTAATGATGACATGCCGTTTATATTCATATCATGTCAGCAATTCGCGCTCGGATTTAATATTGCTTGCCCGTTGCATCTTACAATTTTGGGCTCTGGAGACACGGACGGGTGACATTATACTTCCACTCGAGATTAATTGGCCCTGGCTTGTACTTGTCTATATATTCACAGCGACATTCTGCAGCTTATAGTGGCATATTAATTGACACTGAGCCTGAGAAGCATAAGCATTGTCCAGAACCGTTAGTCGCGGTCACTGGCTTTAATCAAGGTTACATAGAATGCGGCTTCACGGACCTACCGGGCTTAGACGTTACCTCGTGTAGTAGCATGCCAACGAGTCTATGAAATACCGCTGGACCCATTCCCAACGGAGCCAACTTCAATGTGTTGACTGCAGTATTCATGCTGATATTAAATGTTCATTGGAAAGTTAGACATACAGTGGACCATATACTTAGGAATGTTGAGCAGTTAATAATGACTCCCATTAGACACCGTCAAATAATCTCGCAGTTTATAACAGGAACTCTTCATCCAGTGTTTTGACATCAGCTCTGCAACCCCTCACATAGAACGGTCACGCCGTAGGACGTTCCTTTCTTCATGCCAACATGAAACCAGTCTGTTGTAGTACAGCAGGGATGGCTGTGTCAAAGCGGCATGTCATGTGGCATTTGCCCATTGTCGAAACGTACTTCCATTGTGCGACAAACTCCTTGCAGGTATGAGAACCAGTCTTCTACCGGTCGCTCCGAACTTGAAATCTTGTGTACTTAGTATCAGTGTTGGGAGAGAAACAGCTTTATGGTCAGAGCGCAGATAATGATGGGGTTGGACCATCTCGGGTAAATTAGGTTGTAACTATCGGCATATAGTCAGTCATCCTGAGACCTCGCTCCCCTCCTGTCAGGCAGCATGGCCGCTGCCGAGCACTAGTAGCTGCGTTGGCACCCCGTGCCAATTTCCTTGTGCTGAAACTCCTCGATTCTAATAATGGCATACGAAGGGAAATCTGTCAAACAAATAATCATGACAGCCTGAACAGCCTTACACAAACCCGGATATAGTTTCCATACATAGCACGGAGTACTGTACTAATGTTAGTAATCACCTGACTGTCCTCCTTTCTGTCCTTTCCTCCCCGGGTCGCCCCTTAGCCAGAATTAGAAGCTTTGACGAAAACAAGATGAGTGTGCGAGAAGAACGTTGTTCGGCCGACATAGTATGTTAGATATGAATTTATCAATGGGACAGGAATAAATATTGATGGGTTGTTCGTCACGAAATTGGTGGAATTGATTGGAACCGGCTGAGCCCCACCGAGGGGGGGGTATGATGACATTGAGGAGCACAGCTTGATGCTAACTACTAAGTACTACTGATAGTATGGTTCGCCCCGGTTGGGCATTACGTAGTAGTAGACGCCTTCTTGGAATCATACTTACTGTGAGTAGTATTCCGATCGATCGCGATGATGGTAGCCCATCTATCGATCATTACTCTAGTTAATGGCCATATGAATGGGCTGACACGGGATCTTGAGGTATACTGCAGGAGACATGAATCTTTTCCACATACACACACTCCCTCCCTCTCTTTCTCTCTCTCGCCATATTCTAAATAGTTAGGTTGGGATGTTTTAAGGTACCAATAGTAGTCTGCGGCGGTACGTATATGCTCCATGTCTATTCGCCTGTTGAGATTGTTGCAGATGCACTGGAGAAACAATTCTGGTAGACCCCGCGGGGCATTGATACTTCTTTATATATACAACATCGCAAAAGATCTAATAAAAGAACTACTAACCCATGAAGGACTACATATCAATTGCATGCCAATGATAATGATGATATGATTCTCTGGATAAAATTTCCCATGGACTGTTAGGTAAGCGTGACGGGCTTTCTTCCCTGAAATTTGGAACCGTCTTCCAACCAATCCAACCAATGGGTATGACTCAAGAGTCTAGACAAGACCGCGTCACAGTGGCAGTGGCACTAGTAGTCGATCGGTAGACGAGAGGGAAAAGAGAAAGGAACTAAGAATCGCAGAGCTGCTCTTACACAGTACACAGTAGTAGTAGTAATAGTTGTGCCCACACCCAGCCGGACCTTTCTGCGATACCCTGCTTCCGTCGCGGACGTCATCGGTCTTGTTTTGGGCGTTCCGGAGACTGAGAACCTCAACGGACTAGTAGGAATTACTAGAGAGAGACTCGTTTTCCCCACACACACCCTGCTGGGCGCCACCTACGGTCTTTTGCTGCCTCTTTCTCTCTCCAACACCAACTACCAGTTGTACCTCGTTCCTACTTACATCCCGCATTTTTATTCTTGCTCTTGTCGTCGTTCACTTTAGCCTCTCCTGCTACTGCTTCTTTTTTTTTATCCCTCTCACTCGACACTCCTCTCCCACCTCACTCCCCTCGATCTCTTGTCTCTTTTGGCTTCCACTCCTAATCCCCAAATCTCCTGAGAACGAGCTCCGAGGCTCCCACTTTTACCCCCTCCTTGAGTGCGGTGTACCGTCATCCTTACTCCAAAATGGCGGAATTCGTGCGTGCCCAAATCTTCGGCACCACCTTCGAGATTACAAGCAGGTGCGACTCTTTTTTTGACGATTTAAAGAAGATCAGTATGATCTATCGATCATTTACTCATCCTCTCGCAGGTACACAGACCTGCAGCCCGTGGGAATGGGCGCTTTTGGTCTCGTCTGGTGAGTTCGACAACCCCTCTTCTGGATTTCGCCGCCACGCGGATGGCTTTTGTGGCCCGCCCGAACAGCACATGGACTGACGCCTGTCATGGTATAATTCAGTTCTGCGAGGGATCAATTGACAGCACAGCCGGTCGCCGTCAAGAAGATTATGAAGCCGTTCAGCACACCAGTTCTGTCCAAG